TCTTCTGGAAATACTGGTAGTTGCACGTTTACAGTAACTGTTACAGGTTAGTTATATATTGTTATTTATACATAGACTTACTCTATATAAAATTATGCTTAAGCAAAAATACTCTACCAGTGATACTTTGTAGCCTTTTCAACAAACAATTATATATTATGTAAATCTATTTACTCTACAGATAGCGAAGATCCTGTATTGATATGTCCACCTGACAGTAATTTATCAATTGACGGAGGAATGTCGACAGCTACTGTCACATATAATGCTTCGGATGTTACAGTAACTGACAACTCAGGGGAATCTCTTGTTCCAATTACCACAACATCATTTCCAGCTGAATTTGTTCTTGGACCAACCAATGTAACGTATACAGCTACCGATTCTTCTGGAAATACTGGTAGTTGCACGTTTACAGTAACTGTTACAGGTTAGTTATATATTGTTATCTATACATAGACTTACTCTATATAAAATTATGCTTAAGCAAAAATACTCTACCAGTGATACTTTGTAGCATTTTCAACAAACAATTATATATTATGTAAATCTAATTTACTCTACAGATAGCGAAGATCCTGTATTGATATGTCCACCTGACAGTAGTTTAGCAATTGATGGAGGAATGTCGACAGCTACTGTCACATATAATGCTTCGGATGTTACAGTAACTGACAACTCAGGGGAATCTCTTGTTCCAATTACCACAACATCATTTCCAGCTGAATTTGTGATTGGACCAACCAATGTAACGTATACAGCTACCGATTCTTCTGGAAATACTGGTAGTTGCACGTTTACAGTAACTGTTACAGGTTAGTTATATATCGTTATCTATACATAGACTTACTCCATATAAATTTTTGCTTAAGCAAAAATACTCTACCAGTGATACTTTGTAGGCTTTTCAATAAACAATTATGTATTATGTAAATCTAATGTACTGCACAGATAGCGAAGATCCTGTATTGACATGTCCACCTGACAGCAGTTTATCAACTGACAGAGGAATGTCGACAGCTACTGTCACATATAATGCTTCGGATGTTACAGTAACTGACAACTCAGGGGAAACTCTTGTTCCAACTACCACAACATCATTTCCAGCTGAATTTGTTATTGGACCAACCAATGTAACGTATACAGCTACCGATTCTTCTGAAAATACTGGTAGTTGCATGTTTACAGTAACGGTTACAGGTTAGTTATATTTCCTTATGTATACATAGACTTCCTCCTTATAAAATTATGCTTCAGCAAAAATACTCTACTAATAATACTTTGTAGGCTTTTTAACAAACTATTATGTATTATGTAAATCTAATGTACTCTACAGATAGCGAAGATCCTGTATTGACATGTCCACCTGACAGCAGTTTATCAACTGACGGAGGAATGTCGACAGCTACTGTCACATATATTGCTTCAGATGTTACTGTTACTGACAACTCAGGGGAATCTCTTGTTCCAATTACCACAATATCATTTCCTGTTGAATTTGTGCTTGGACCAACCAATGTAACGTATACAGCTACCGATTCTTCAGGAAATACTGGTAGTTGCACGTTTACAGTAACTGTTACAGGTTAGTTATATATTGTTATCTATACATAGACATACTCTATATAAAATTATGCTTAAGCAAAAATACTCTACCAGTGATACTTTGTAGCCTTTTCAAC